AGCAGCAATTAAATCATCACTTAAAAACCAACCTGCTTACCTGAAAGACTCTTAAAATATTAAACAAATTAATAAAAATTCCAATATAATTTTTTATTGTTTTATTTCGTATTTATTTTAATTAGTTTAGTTGCGTTTATTAAAGATATATCTAATTCATTACTATTAATCATATATAATATGTAGGAATACTTTTGAAATGTAAATTCGAGTCTATTGTAGTTGCTATCAGATATAAAAATTCAAAAGAATTAAGTATTAATTTATAACATTTCAAATATTTAAATATTTTATTGAATGTAGAACTGATCATGGCTCCAAATAATAATGATATTATCTGCATATATGTATATATATGTACCGACCGGGTACCATAACGACGCAGAATATAGATTCAGGCAACTCTGACTCCATCGCCATCGCCTTATACCGTTGTTTTTTGAAGATGTCTACAACGGTCTTCTAACTCTCGTTTGTCTCCTACCTATCGACCCACTTGGGTTGATTACCAAGTTTTTCTAAAGGCACCGCGAAAAGGTGAGAGTAGAAATTTGAGCGGAAAAGGCTCAAATACTAACTGGTCACAGCATCTATGTTCTGCATAGAATATATTTACCATTAGGTCCACGTCGGTATGCTTACTGGTATGCTAACGAGAAACTCTGCCATAGGGCTGGTGCTTCAACGGTGTTGTGTTTTGATGAGGAACTAAGAAGGATTTGCTATAATGATAAGAAGGTTGAATTCATTAATTACTCTTTATATCGTTGTTCAAACCTACAAACGGAACATTTCATTGTTTATGAGACCTTTATCTAATCGAACAATCAGAGGTAGTAAATGTAGACTTATATGATCTTTCTAACTGTATCTGGAACACAAAATTGTTCAACAACAAAGATACATCATAATGAAAACAATGAGAAGACTAGCTTCCTCTCACTGTAAACTTAAACTAACTTAATTTAATATAACTTAAGGTAATTAATTTAACTTAATTTAAATTAACCTAATCCAGTTTGGATTCTATTACTCTTCTCCATGTAAGTAAACTGTAAACAGATCAATTGGAGATCGTTTTGTGATTCAAAGCGTTTAGACGATATAATTATTCTGTCAATTCTCAAGCAAAGTTATTATTTTGTATTTGACTACTCCATCTAATTGTGTTCTAAGTAACTCTATTTTTATAGCCAAATTTATTTTAAGACAAATACTTAAGATATTTTGAAACTAAAAAGTTCTGTGTTCACTTTGGACTCTAAATCCGTAGTCAACAATTTACGAAAGTGTGTGTATTTATCCAGATTGCAGCAGCGTTTTTTCATATTTTAAGTCCACAAAATATAATTAAGTTATTAAAGTCTTAATACAAGCACTTTGTACGAGATCGTTTGTACTTTATACTTACTATAAGTTGCTTATAAACAAAAAACGTAGTTTGTGTCATGTGTGTTTTTACTCTCTGTGTTCTGTTATTATGCTGTCGATATTTGTGATATATAATTTTAAGATTCTAACTTCTTTACTTGTAAATGTGAAGAAGAAAAATACGGGGCATGATAACTTCTATATATTGTTTTACTTTTATCCTTATTTAGTTTCAGACAAGCAACATGCTTCTGCTATTATTATGATTCAACATCCTCATTCCAATTACTTGGTAATATATCTCTCATATTTCTATATAGTAGATCCATATTGCTGTTGACAATCAATACTTTAGTTCTACTAGGTGTTATGACAATTATTTCGTAAAAGATTTTTATAGTTTCAGATCTGTACAGAGTAAGCACCGCACATTTGAAATTCGGTGTTTTCTGATTCGGTATAAGAGCACTATTTGTCCATTTTGTTGTCCACTTTGTTGTTAGAACGAGCTTTATACTATGTTCAGACACACCTTAATTTCGCAAAAATCTTAATTTCATCTTTGTTTCAGTGAAATTAAATTGTTTTTTTCGTTGAAACCTTAATTTTGTTGAAACGAAGGCTGAAATTAAGGGACTTTTCAAAAGCAACTATGTGCAAGATAAATTTTTAGCAAAAAATAAAATTTAGATAACGAAAATGTGATATTTTTTTAAATAGATGTCAATGATAGTTGATTTTAATAAAACTGGGAAATATTTTGAAAGTGGTGCAAAATTTTTAAATTTGTTTATAGAGAAAAAACTGCAACTGTTATTAAATTAAAATAGAGTGAAAAATAGTAATTCACATACCTGAAATCCACTAAAGCTAATAAAACTACTGAATGCCATCTTTTATAGTTATAATAATCAATTTTCAAAATTTCCCAGATAGAAATGGTGTTTAAAGCATGTAATTTTTAACATTCGATTTGTGAACATAAAACATATAATTTCCTTAATTTGTGGCAGTACCAAAACTTCCCAAATTTACTTCATTTCATTTTTACGAAATTAAGGAAATTTGGCAGTCTGAACATAATATAATCCTAGTAACATAAATTATTTCTACATATTGTTAATTCCTTATTATTTTTTGGTTGATTTTGTCGAAACTTGATACTTTCTTACAACCAACTTTGATTTGATTGTGCTAAGAATACCGTTGGTGGTGATGTGAGTATCAATAGTTTAAGCATAAAAATCATTTTGGGAAATATTACGATCCCAAGTGGCAGAGTTTGATTGAAAAATTAAATTTAAATGATGTGCAAAAACACTGTCTTTTTTATGACTGCATTATTAGTTTTCACTTAAATCTCTTATTTTTGCTTTAAAGTCTACGGGAGTATGAAGATCTTTACTAACTTTTTATAATGATACTCCTTTCTCTCCTTCAGCGGATACGATTTATATCAAATTGTTCTGATTGTACTTTACTGATGGTCTCTTTTGCTTTCTTTAATGCAAATCTTAGTTAGTTTTGGAAAACTAATTACCTCTTCCGCCTAAAACTGTATTTTACCAATGCTATTTGCTATTAAATTAATTTATTTATTTATGTATTTGAATTTATTAGTAAATGATTTGATCATATCATTTTAACGGATGACTGGAATTTTGCAACATATTTTCAGTGAACGTTCACAATAGACTGATTTTAAAATTTGGCTGCACTAAAACCCAAGATTTAAAAATGTTTGCGAGTAAAATCTTACTTTGAAGATACACATTGTTGTTTTTGTTGTTGTGTGAGCATACTGCACAGCAAATGTCCTGCTTGTAATTTGTTTGTCTGTAGTCCTTTTAAGCATATTAATTGTAGTACAAAAACCAAGAGTACATGTCGCGAATGTTGTTGGTTTTTAAATTTAGGTGCATTAAAAACTGTAAATTGTTGTGATATATTGATTTTAGTTATTATATATAACTTGTTGCTCCAACCCATGTCTTGTGAATAATATAATAAAAAATTACTACTTAATATAATCAAAATGTATGTAATAAAATAAATATTTAGAACTTTCAACTCTTAGCAAATTTTATTTCTTTCAATCATGCCTGATAGTTTATTGTGTTTTTGTATTGTCTTTTATTGTGAACAGCTGTTCAACTGTCAAAACCAAAACAAAACAAGAAAATTGTAAATTGGTGAAGAATTTTTCGCATTATTCTTAATTTTGCGTTGTTTAATAAATTAAAATTTTAAAGAAATTTATAAAGTTGAAACAGTGTGAGTAAAATCAAGAGTGAACACTTTTGTTTATTAAATGCTTTAATTTGAAAGCAAAAGGGAAACGAAAATATAATTAGATTATTTTGCATCGCGTAATGAAATTCAAAATTATTAAAGCATAAACATAATCGATTTTATTTTTCAGTAATTGCAATAAATCGACACAAAAAACTTGATTTTGTACAAGGTAATATAGCTTCCAGGGAGAATATATTCAAGTTCGTTCGTATGTACATGTTTTTAATATATCAGTCAAAATTGTATTTGGCTTGCAATTGTGGACGCAATCCTCTCCAGCTTCGCGGCGGGGCTGGTTTGGATATAACAATCGACAGCCGATTTTTCAGCGAAGACACCTGAGAGACGCCGCAACAAACTTTTACCATATATCAAATACTTTGACATCTAACTTACGTCTGGATTATCTAGCAACGTTTACTTCGAGCAGTTCAACAGAAAATAGTCCGAGTCATCAAAGCATAATGTCTTCCAATTCGGATGACGATGTAGGAGCTATTGTTGATTTTGTTGGATTACGCAGTTGCTTAGACGACAGCACAATAACAGAAGATCTTGACACGGCAGTCTCATTAGAAGAGAGTCCATTTTCCAGATATCGAATAGGACAATTTGCTCAAGGTGTAATTGATTTCAGTTCACAGTATGGCAGTGATTATAGCATTTCATATACTGCGCCAAATATAACTGGAAGACCAACTAAATACCCTCTTTATGGGGATTTTCCAGAAACATACGCAATGGTATATAAAAAAATAATCTAAGAGTTAAAAATTTACTTGCAATAAATAAAACTTGCTAATTTCTAGCGTGTTTATGGAGACTGGTGGGATAAAGCGCCTTCCGCTATGTTGGAAATACAACCTCAAAATATACCTAAAATTCCCGCTCAAGATTTTATCGGTAATATTTTTATTACAATATATGTTATTTATGTTTATACTTTAATTTAAGAAACATTTTTTAGTTGTCCACTTTGAAGATTATACGGTACCAGACAAAATTGTAATCTTTGAAACTTTTAACCCTGGCGCTATAATACGCATATGGGCATACACAATTATAAAAACATGGGTATGCCTATGGGAGGCTACTGAAAAAGCAAGTAACTCTTTACCTCATGAAGCACGCAGTTTTTTGCCAACAATAAAAAATATTGGATTACCTACCAGGTAATTATTACATATATAAACCATTTAAAATTATATTTTTTATTTTTGATACTGAAATTATTTGAAATATTTTTATTTTTTGATAATTAACAGAATCATAAGACTAGAATTCAATCACTCGGATTTAAATTACTTCACTGAAATTGATGGAATATTACTCTATGGGCAAAATGTTAGTATACGAAATCTGCATCAAATTGTTGACCAATACTACAATCGCGGAAAAAGCGGTAACATATATTAATTCTCTCTAAACATCAGTAATTCAAAATTATATAAAATTTAGGAACAATACTGAGTAAACTACAGAGCATACAATTTCGTCCAGACTTTAGGGATGACTATAAAAATCAATTACAAGATTTTATAAGCAAAGATTTAAACAAATTTGTTACGTCTTTACCAAATGATAATGAAATTACAATTGATAACACCAAAGCAGAGAAACAACTCGATTTAAATGATATGCCGGTATGCTCGAAACTAAAATTTTTTACTCTGCTTTAACTGAATAAATAATATTTTTAGTTCGAAATAATGCTTAAAGTATGCAGTTATCTTGATCTGCAGTCATTATTCCGTATGAGTTTGGTGTGCAAAACTTTATATGCTGTAACCACACATCCTCTACTTTATCGGGAACTTAATTTGAAGCCTTTCTGGCATTTGGGTTCCAATGAATTGCTTTGTACACTCGCAAAAAGGGCCACATTATTAAGGAAATTGGACTTATCTTGGTGTGGATTATATAATTCTATATCACCTACTGAATTCAAAAAGTAAGTTTAGTTTATTTTCGTAAATTTTGCATGCATTTTATTTTGAAACCATTTAAATATATATGTGTGTATACATTCATAAGTTTTCTTTACAAATCTTTTTTTTTTCATATGATTTTTATATTTATTTAGCTTCACTTTACTATATAATAAATATAGTGAGTTTCATAATGTGGTTTGAAATGTAAAACCAGTGATATAACATGTATTTTTCTTAACACAAAACGAATAGATTCTATTTTATAATATTGTACTCAATTTTGAATAATTTTTATTTCTTATTGCATATAAGTAATGTTGTTTATAATTATCACTTATTATTAATTTCTAAAAGCCAGTTATTATTATCACAATAATGACGCCCAATGGCGTCATGGCTAGTAGTGCCCTCCCTCCTAGATGCATTCGTCGATCTCTCCTTTTTTTTAACAATTCTATCGACACCTTTTGCAACGGAGCTAACATCAGTGAGGTCGAATATAAACGTGGACTTACGGCCCTCCACACCGATGCAGTATCTTCTTCTAGACCTAGTTTGTCTGACAACAAGGTTTTTGATAGGCCTCCGCCTGAAATCTCCTCGGATGAACGCTCTCTTCCACGTGCAACAAGAACTGTCCTTGCTCAATTGAGATCAGGATATAGCCGAGTGCTAAACAGTTACTTGTCTCGCATAAATACGTCCATCCACAATGTGTGCCCTAACTGCAGCTCTTCTCCCCATGACGTCGCCCATCTGTTTTCATGTCCTTCTGCACACACAAATCTTCGTTCAATTAACCTTTGGACTCACCCCATTGAAGTGGCCAGGTTTCTCCGCCTGGATCCAGGTTGATGGTTTATATATACCTCTTTTCTACTCTTCCTCATCCTTTCTCCCCCCTTCTCCTTCATTACCCTCCTAACCTTTATCCTATTTCCCTACGCATGTAATCGTCTTGTGTTTCCTTTCATGTTTATCTGCTTACAGGTCCCGGCGGATTACAACAACAACAACAACACAATTTAAAAAAATAACTCTTTAAAAAATTTTAACTACAATTAAAGAGTCAGCGATTTTAATTCTCATATGAATTTATTAGTGTGGAAATTAAGATTAAAATAATTTACTTAAAATCTTCAACTAGTTCAAATAAAATATTGTTACTTTTTCATTGTCTATTGCAGATTTATACAACAGTGTGGCGATAATTTAACTCATTTAGTATTGAACTCTTGTAAATTTCTTAACGCAAGTTGTATAGAAACTATTGGCATTGTTTGTGATAACCTAAAAGGTAACAGTCTAATTCTATATTTAATTTTTAAATAACTTCCTTTATATAAATTTTGTTCAGAACTATCATTACGAAACTGTTCCACCGATCCACCACTCTTAAACTTTTCTTGTTTGGCGAATTTGAAAAATTTGGAACGTTTAGACTTATTTCAAACTGTAATCGAAATGGATTTGCTGCTAACCATGCTAGAAAGTAACCGAAAGCTAAAACACTTAAATTTAGGTACGAAATAATTTGAAACAACTACAACATCATAAGAATTATTATTTTACCTGACTTAAATTATTTAGCTTTTTGTGGGGTAAATGTGAGTATGGATGTAGTAGCAGAACAAATAGCAACATACAATAAACAACTGATATCCTTGGATATGTGGAAGTCTCACTATCTCTCGGCAGTGGGCTTACAAGCATTATCAAACTGTCATGATTTAGAAGAAGTAGATTTTGGTTGGTGGTAAGTAAAATTTTTGATTACTATAAAATCTTATGATGTTTATTTATTGCTTTAAGCTTAAGAGAAGCATCACTTGGAGATAGTTTACAAAATTTTATAAAAAGTTGCCCAAAATTGAAGAAACTTTTTTTGGCTACTGCGAGGGGCATAACTGATTCGGATGTCAGGAATATTGCTAATATTTGCCCAAATCTTGAGCAATTGGATTTGATGGGTGTTCTAGGTATACCTAAAGATCGATATTATGAGTAAGTATTGTGTTTAAATTTATATTTTAAAAATATTTTAATTGCCTACAATTTCTAGACTTTTAGTGAAATGTTCCAAGCTGCAACTTTTAGATTTAAGTTTTTGTGATAATATTGATGAGTTTGAAGTAAGTAAAAACTAAACTCTGATAATATTTACTAATATTTTTAGTATTTAAAATATTTTGTATTTTTTAGGTCAAACAATGGTCTCAAATATTCAAAGTAAATATCAAATGTAGTCATGTGCCTATGGAATATACAAATTAATACATATAAATAATTATAAAAAAATTTTAGCTATGAATTTTAGATAGTTGTAAATATATAGAGAGTTTACCTAATTGTTGACTATATAAAAATATGTATATATATTAATATATATAAATAATAAATTGCAAATCTAAAGATTGTTTTTAAATTTATTGAAACAAATTTAAAAAAAAGCTAATGTAATAGTATAAATTGTTTACCTATAGCATACATATTATATTTTTTTAAATATATATAAATGTCCACATGGATGAATCCGATTGATCTGCAATATACAAATTTCACGCCAAACTAAGTTATTCTGTGTTATGAGTTGAAATTTCATAAAAAATTGTTGTGACCACAAATATGTTAAAAAATAATAGCAAAACAACTTGGAAGTGGTCATTTTATTTTTTAATTTGTCGAAATCATGAGCATATTAACGAATATTGTCAATGTCATTTCGTGACAACGAACGCATACATGTTAAGAAAAATATTAATGTCTACACGTTACTTAAACAATTTCTTTTAAATATAGTTTTTATCCGGCTTTGCAACAAAATTGAACTAAATATACTTAATATAAAACTGAATTTTATTTACAAATAAAATCTTGTTACAATATAAACACATTGTGAAAATTGTATAAATATATTTTATGCTTGTATTCATCTTTTTAGATTAGAAATACTCTAGCGTTCATACTGTGGGATACTGTAGAACAAATTAACTAGGTTTATTGTTGTTATATATAATGTTTTAAGTATTTAATTCAAATTTAAAATTCAATTAAAATGCAACTTAGCTGCTGTGTAAATGGTAAGTATCAAATATCCCTCTATCTTGACGTTTAGTCCAAGAGAAAAAAATATTTTGAATATACAGTCAAACTATCATTACTCGAACTTCTATAACTCGAACAAAATCTTTGTTCAGTGCCGATAGGAATATGGGAAAGTGCATTCTATAAGTCGAATTTTTGTTTTAAGTATAAATGCATTTTGATGTTAGAGGAAGTTCCTTTTTCCAAACCAAATGCTTAATATTTTCTTTCCTATGTTGCTAAAATAACTTCCAATGCTACTCTTAACGATTACATTGAACTTGACAATGGAATTTGTAATTCAAGCTTTCCTACAGATGACGATATTATTGAGCATTATATAGCTCTAAATTACTGGATCCAATTCTAAGCGCAACGGAAAGTGATGATGAGGGTTCGGTGGATGTAATTGTTCATTAGCATTCTAAGAATGAAGTAGAAGTCATTCAAAAATCTGAATTTATATTTGCAATCAAGTGATACTACAACTGATGATCACTATAAGAGCATGAATAAAGTGGAATCTCTTTTTACTGAAGATAAGAAAAAATTAAAGCCCCAAATCTCAATTTCCGAATATTTTACTTCATTATAACTTCTGTTCTTTATTTTATTGCAAATTAATAAATATTTTAAAAAGTAATTCTAGTTTCATTCCAAAAATGAAAAAAAAAATGAAAAAATTCCCTAACTCGAAGTCTCCATAAGTTGAACCTTTTATTTGCAAAATTGGACTTCGAATTAAGGAAGTTTGACTGTGATTGTAGTCGCTGGATGAATTTTAACCAAACACTTTAATTAATATAATTCATTAAAATATGTATCAATTTAAAGTATTAGTTTAAACTACAGCACTACAGATTTTATAGGTCGAGGCTAAGTAATGTACTAAATACAAAAATTTTATTTTATTAAAGTATTTTTTTGTTTTGTTACTTATTGTTTGCTTTTAATTTAGCTTTACAAAACATTGGTTCAACTTTCTCATTCAATTAATTATTTCTTGATTTAACATGAGTTATTGTATTTTAAAATACTTTGCAGTATCGTTTCTGTATTGTGTTCT